TCTTTTGGTATGACGCGGTCGGGGATCGAACCCGCGACCTTCCGCTCTCCGGGCGGACGCTCTAACCACTACACCACGGAGGCGGTCTCATGCATCGAGGAACACACAACAGACGAATCACTATAAAATAGTAAGCTCACCTAATTTTTTATTCATGCATAGTTTTAAGGTTAGATTAGTTAAATAATAGAGTTGCCAGTGTCACTACCATGGACATTGTCACTGTATACAGAGCCTACTATACATCGGTTGGCTACTTAGGAATAATTGTATTGTTGTGGAGTCAACTTGGTTTCAGCAAGTATGTACCTCATAGACGATACTCCTCCGGTGTTTGTCTCGTTCCATGGACTGATGGGTATTGGTATCTTTGACGTTGTGCTTCAACACTCTCAAGGTTGTCATGGATAAGAAGTTGGAAGATGCCTGTATCAACCTAAATTTGTATTGATAAAGCCGATCTGGAGTGACACCCTTAGCCAGGGAAATCTACCAATACCCCTTCATAAGGTCAAACTTGCTGACTTACTTATTCTTTCTGTGAGAAAAGAGTCAGCTATAGAAACAGCACCAACCCGTTTTATGTCTGAACACCGCCATCTGTAAACACAACTGGCTTTAGTGGGAGAGGTACGAGGTGAGGGGAGGTGAGGTTAAATGGGCTTTAACGTCGTACTTATAAGAATATTTCGCTCATATGACCACGTGCATGCGTGTGTATGAGTGGCTGCTTGTAGACTTAAGCTGGTTTTATAGTGCCAGCTCACTGAGATACCATGCCACAGTTAAACATGAATACCCCTCTCAGGCACATTATACTGACTCTGAACCGACCAGTCCTTGTTGTACCTACTGATGCCATGCGCCAGGCGGGGACCCACTTTAGTGGAAGAACACAAGGTTACACATGCATTGAACTTATTTGTTCAAGTCTGCGGCCGTGTTGGACTTTCTCATAGGGTTTTTTTCACAGGCATAGTGTCAGCTGCATCAACATCATGTCATCATCTAAATCTGTACAGCCAGATACATCCAGTACCAAGCACATGACGATGTACAAGGGATTGGCCAAAACGCTTAAAGGGTGAGTGAGTGAGTTTAGTCTTACTCAGCAATATTCCAGATATATGGCGGCGGCCTGTAAATAATGGAATCTGGACCAGACAATCCAGTGATCAAAAGCATGAACATCGATCTGCGCAATTGGGAACCGATGACATGTGTCTGAGCCTGACCCCCCGATCCCGTTAGTCGCCTCTTACGACAAGCATGGGTTACTGAAGATCATAATTCTAACCCGGACCTTCATAGGGTCCTTAAAGAACAGAACAGTACTTTCAATCGTCAGAATACACTTTCAGCTTGTCATGTTTTGTGATTTTTCAAATCACTCCTTGCAACTCGAAATGATGAAACGCATTTCTTACCTACTTTTAAGCCAGTGCCCCTTCAAGTATTTCATAGGTCCATGGTAAGTACGTCCACTCTCGAAGTGAGTTCTTCTGGGCAAACAACAACAATTTAATGCCTTTATCCTAATTCTTCCCTTTCCCCCAAAGATTTTTATTTGTTTGTTGTTTAACGTGGCACTCAGCAAATAATAAATAATCGAGTCTGGACCAGACAATCCAGTGATCAATATCGTGATCATCAATCTACACAATTGGGATACGATGACATGTGTAACCAAGTCAGCGAGCCTTACCACCCGATCCCGTTAGTCGCCTCTTTCAACCATGGGCTGCTAAAGACCAATTCTAACCAGGATCTTCATATATGTTTTCACAGAAGTAAGTCCTCCTCATATTCCTAAGAGTCTAAGGAAACCTCTCTTAAGTTCGTTAAGATGATATGAACTACAGCTATGTCTCAGGGATGCATAGCCTGTTGGAATTCATAGGACATGAAATTAGCTCCTGTTGTGACAAAATAGTTCTAAGCAAATCATATACCTTTACAAAAGTCTTCATGATAACCTTAACCTTTTAAACAAAAGTAGAGCCATATCTTTTCTTAGCAGATCAAAACTGTTGCCCAGAAGCTTCAGGAAGCAGTTCATGTGCCTTGAAAAATGCAGTCTTGGAAGTCTGATATTCCATCAGTAGATTCTCTTGATCCATGTATGAACGGCAGGGAAATGTTTGCCTGCTCATCCGTCACTGTCTATCATCCTTCAAGGCATTCCTTCCGGCAGAGTATATATATGATGATCACATCATCGAGGCCTTCTAATGACCCACGTGTTTCCGGCAAGGGAGACAACACCTGATAACTCTTTTAAGCCTGACCTATTCACTAAGGCCATCTATATGTTACTCACACCTGAGGAAAAATGCTCTCTAATGGACCATGTGTTACCACCAGTTTAGGAGGATTGTTCCTGCTAAAATGAAACAAATACTTTTGTTGATCTCGTAATTCTGTACAAGACTTGCTGTAACCAAAACTCATCACTTCTTTGGCAGGTTACAAAGCGGGATAACTACTAGCAAGCGGTATGTCAAGTTTGAAGGTATGTTACCAGCTTGTCATTTTTGCAAATTGTTCGAAGCGCAGAATGATCTGCATAAAGTATGAGCTACTTTTTGATGCACCTTGGGATTGACATACTTAGAGTATCAACAGCACTTCTGCCATATTCAGAAATATTATTTGGTCCCCAGGGTATAGTGTGGTTCATCACTTTAGCGAGAGAGGAATAATACAATTAGAAATATTATAATAATAATAGTTCATTTATAAAGCGCACATTTCCATGCACAATGCATGCTCAAAGCGCTGATGTCAGGATGAAAAGCCTTTTTGGAAAAGGTGGGTCTTTAGCGATGTTCGAAGGTTGAAAGTTCTGTCATTTCTCTCAAATGTTGAGGGAGATGATTCCATTCTGAGGCTGCAGCATAAGAGAAAGTTCTTTGACCAAATTTAACTGTTCTGACTTTAGGAATACACAGAAGATTATGTTTCTCGGAGCGGAGGGATCTTGTTGGTTTGTATGGAGAAAGGAGGTCGGGCAGATATTGAGGTGCACTTCCAGAGAGACATCTGAAGGCGAGAATGCAGAGTTTAAAAGTGATGCGCTGTGGAATGGGCAACCAGTGGAGGTCCTTCAACACAGGGGTGATGTGTGCTGAATTGGGTGAGAGAGTGACTATTCTTGCTGCTGTGTTCTGAACCCGTTCTAGTCTACCAATCTGGGATTTTGTTGCACCAGCAAAGAGGCTGTTGCAATATGCACATGCTTTGAGCGACAGTTGTTAGTTATCATGAATGTTAAATGCACAGATTTACATTCAAGACAACATTATATTTATACATATATCTATAATATCCTTTACGTAATACAAAAATAATGTGGAAGATAAAGAAAACAGTTATGAAATGGAGTAATGAATAATAACCGAGGTAGGGAACAGATTGGAACCGATAGCTTAGTTTTGAATAGCTATTGTCTGCAATAAGCAGGCGGTAAAAACGTGTTTGTTGATTCCCCTTGAAGTGGCATCAAAACATTACGAGTCTTGTTTGTAAATGCCTCGGGACTTCAAATATCCCTGTATGCCAAGGACACAAAAGCAAGGTATGTGACTTTCATCAGGTGATCACTGCGTTGTATTGTGCAACCTTGTGCGTGGGATGGTGGTGTGCATAGACGAATAATCAAATGTTTTGACAGAAATTCACATAGTTCTTTTCTGAGATTGCCAAGCTGAAAGCAATTTCTCAAATGCTTACGTTTTATTAATGCATGTAGTTCGGAGAATATAAAGGAAGTTCTTGTTTGATTGCATAAAAGGTAATATTTATTCTTTGCGACATTGAATTGGAGGTGTATGTCCGTGAACCTGCAATGGAGTCGTGAAGATCCGGGTTAGAATTGATCTTCAGTAACCCATGCGGCCTATGCGACTAACGGGATCGGGTGGTCAGGCACGCTGACTTGATTGACACATGTCATCGTGTCCGAATTGCGTAGACTGATGCTCATGCGGTTCATCACTGGATTGTCTGGTCCAGACTCTATTATTTACAGACCGCCGAAATGCTGCCTTAAACAACAAACAACAAGTTTTGTTGAAATTTGGACGTCAAGGAAATCGCCTTCTATATTTCGTGATGCTGTAATTGTCCCAACACTTAAACCTGGATCTGATCATACCGATTCAAATTGTCGACCAGTTCCATTAACACGCTTCAAACCCAAGGAACTCATGATAATCGGCTAGTTTGGTAGTTATTTGGACACTTAAAAACCAAATACCTAATAACAGATTACGATGTGATTTCCCTAAAACCATTTAGTAATTTAAGAATGATTTGTTAAAAATGCTACAGACCCGTGAAGATCCGGGTCAGAACTGATCTTCAGTAACCCATGCTTGCCTTAGAGGCGGCTAATGGGATCGGGTGGTCAGGATTGCTAGCTTCGTTGACACGTCATCGCATCCTAATTGCGTAGATTGATGCTTATGATGTTGCTCACTGAATTGTCTGGTCCAGATTCGATTATTTACATGCCGCCGTAATACAGCTGAAATATTGCTGAGTGCGGCGTTAAACAGCCAACCAACCAGCCATGATAAATCGTCCAACTTGGAAGGGGTCGACACAAAAAGGATAAACGACAACGTAGCGCTCCTTCATCATCAAATGAGTACGCTGTGGAACAATTACCATGACGAATATTAACAATCTGATACCAGAAGCTTAAAGAACAGATTTTGTCAAACAAGAACCGGAGGTAAACTGTTCAGTATTGCACCATTTGTGGGGCATGTCGTGTACTTGCAAATATTGCAAATATTCTTTCCCCAGGATAAAGACCAACATTAACTTTCAAATAGCGGTGCAATGTATGAAACCCATTTTTGACCTATTATAGATTGTTATTAAATTATTGTTTTCCGTTATTCACGTAGATGAAGGTCTTATCGTTCCTCCGTGGTAACATTCTTCTAATCATCACGGTCATCGCCGTAGTCGTGGGTGTGGTAGTTGGGGTAATGTGTCGACAGTTCACCCCGACGGAAGAAACCATCCGTCTTGTGAAATTTCCAGGGGAGTTGTTCCTGCGGATGCTCAGGCTGCTGATGTTACCTCTGGTAGTGGCCAGTATGATTACAGGTAGTATATACATGATATTCCCTGGTCGGATGTCTCGAAGTTCGGATAACTCGATATTTTTTCTTGGTCCCATGAGTATAGAGACAACGGTGCTCGACTGTATGTCTTCATACAGTGAATTTACTAACGGGAAAAAATAACTATGCTCCATATATATATACATAACGTAATCTTTCAATACATTATTCGTGTAAGTTTCAATGTAAAGTTGTGATTAATACTTTTCGAGGACATGAGTGAGTGAGTATGGATTTACGCTGTTTTTAGCAATATTCCAGCAATATTACGGCGCGGCACACCAGGAATGGGCTTCACACATTGTACGGTACCATGTGGGGAATCGAACCCAGGTCTTCGGCGTGACGAACCAACGCTTTAATCACTAGGCCACCCCACCGCCCCTTCAAGGACATGAGCATAAAGGATTGTGTGTGTTGGGCTCATGATATGCACACATGCGGTCTTTGATTAAGTTGTCGGTATCAGAATATAGGGCTGAGCTTGGTGTCATAACATCATAGGAATCCACAAAGACCATGCTCAGATAGGTGAAGAAGTTGCCTGCTACAAAGAGTCTTGTTTCCACATACTTTTAAAGAAACGACATATTATGTTTAAAATATAATCCATTAAATAGGACAGAAGATACAAAAGGTTTTGTTCATCTGTTAGGCCTGGGAAACATGAAGGGTGCTGGAAGGATTTGCTTGCTGGCTATGTTGTACTACATGGCCACTACTGTTATTGCGCTGCTGATAGCACTGGCGTTTGTATCCACCATCAAACCAGGCAGTAACTCTCGTATCATCACAAAAGACATTACCCAAGCAGAAGTAAGGACATCTGGCACGGACATGGTTTTGGATGTAATAAGGTATGTTGAAGAATTTCATTCCATTCATAAGGCCAGGCATTTTTTGTAGTTTTGGGTGATTGATTTTGTCAGAATTTTTTGGGGGGTAAGTAGAGAAAAGTTAGGATAAATGTTAACGTTGCAAAGTGTGCAGTGTTAGTTAATGTTGTCTTGTCAGGTTTGCTGTTGAACCTTATGTGTTCAGCGGAATGATATTCACATTTGAGAAACGTACATTTTGTACTCTCAAAACATAAAGTGAACAAAAATGTCCTAACAAACTGGAATTCAAACATTTTGTGTGTAAGGTATGGATGGACACAACATTCATACAGACACAACATTCATACAGACACAACAGAAATAATACTTGATAATCACAGTATACTTTAAAATGAAGTGCAGAACATGCTTTTGGTGTACAAAATCCGTAAACATCTTCGTGTATTCACTTTTATTTTGTATCACTGCTCCAAAGTTGGTATCGTGAAATAGATAGCATGTAAATTAGATATCATGTAGGAACGACCCAATTCATTAATTGTATCAATTTATGTTAAGCAGGTACTTCCTGTTAGCTTGTCTGGCAAATGGAAGATTGCATTACAAAAAGAAACTAATAAAGTAACATATTACACTTTCACTTAATTTGAACACAAACAACGCTCTATAATTACTACATTGTTCAATTATCAACAGTATTGTCATATAACAAAATAACATACTTACAAACATTGCAGAAACGTCTTCCCTGACAACATTATTGGAGCTGCCATTCAGCACACCAGAACCATAACGACCGGTGGAGATGAAACAGTAGAATTAACCAATACAAGTTTAAATGGAGATGATCCTGAATTAAACATCACAAGAAACAACCCGTTGGTGCTGAAGAAAACAGTTGTAATAGGCGGTGTTAATATTGTTGGTAAGTTCTTTATAATGTTTATCAGGGAACTAAACTTGACTTTGCATGTCACAGAGTGCCTCTTGAACAGATATTACCATTTGATAACGGTTTATTTAACACTTTTTTTAGCAGAGATTTTTTATCATGGGATCGATTTATGATTTTGGAAAGAGTTATGGAGCGTTCACATATTTGTATTCACGTTTCAGGTATATTGACATATTCTGCTGTCTTTGGTGTATTTCTCAGTAGAATGGGACCAAATGGATCTGTGGTACTACGGTTCTTCAATGCTATCAACACTATCACCCTGAATATGGTTCAACTAGCCATGTGGTGAGTTGAACACTTTAGAAAAAGGATTCTCACGATTTGGAAACAACTAGAGGTTGCGTTGATCTGTGGTTCAACATTATTGTGTAACAATACACATATGTATCATTGTTGCTGGCATATATTTTATACTTGTTACACACAAAATAATAATCCTCCATATATAGCAGGAACATGCAAGTATGTTGCGAAATAACTGGAGTTCAGGCGTCATTATAAGATTAGATTCAAACAAGTCAAATTAGGCTGGTTTGTCATATAGTCATATACCATGTTCTCAATATCGTACCTTCTGATGGCAATACACATCACGTTGTCAAACCCCGTATGGAACAGGTAATTAGTAGGTAATTACTTAGTATGTTTTTCGTAAAAAGTGACCCTTACGGACCGGATGGTCCATCATGTCCTAAACACCATATTACGTGTCCTGAACGTCATGCTCCATGTCTCCAACACCATATACCACGTCCTCTACGTCATATATCATGTCGGCAAAAGCGAACACCTTGCTTCAACGCAAAAGTAATGTAAGTCCCCATGGTCCCTGGTATGGTGATCTACCTTCAGTTTTTGGCGGTTTATAGCCCATTTTTATACTGTATTGTTTTCCCCCTATAATTAAAACGTTTTAGATTTAAGTACTAGTTTTACATACATATCTGTGATATTCTAGTTGTTTTACTGTCCTTCGTCGGCAGGTTTTTTATAATAAACAGATATTTCATTTCAATATCAAATGTTCTCGCCACGATATGGCTGAAATATTGCCGATGTGACGTTAAATATTAACTCACTCACTCACTCTCCTTGCTTCAACGCCATACACCTCGTCCTTCACACAACATGTGCTCTCAGTGCTATACATCACCTTCGCAACTCATGTTCCATGTCATCTATTTCACACACCATATTCGCAACACTTTACACCATGTTCACCTGGTTGTAATGTCTGCGTTGTGTTTCACAGGTTCTCCCCGCTCGGCATAATGTCCATGATTACAGGTGAGTTGTTGACTTCAGTCAGCCTGAGGGAGACAGGTGAAGTGTTGGCCCTCTACATCGTCACTGAATTAGCAGGGCTGGTCGTCCATTCCTTACTTGCTACGCCTTTACTGTATTTGGTTCTAACCAGGACTAATCCGTTTCGTGTTCTCGGGGCGGCTGGACAGGCTCTCATAACAGCCTTTGCAACATCGTCGAGGTAATTCAACCATACAGGATATGTCCATATTCAACAATATGCGTGGGTGCGTGCGTGCGAGTGTGGAATATGTGTAATGATATATTAAAACAAATTGTAAAACATATTGAATCAGATGTAAGCACAGGTCATGAAACAGTCGATTAAAGTGTTAAATGACAACTCATTCTGTTTCTAAGCTCCGCCACCCTGCCAGTGACAATGAGGTGTATGGAGAAGAAGTTGAAAATGTCCCACAGCATCACCAAGTTTGTCCTCCCTTTCGGGGCTACAGTCAATATGGATGGTGCGACAGTATATTATGTCTGTGCGCCTATATTTATCGCTCAGTACACTGGGATCAGCCTTTCGGTGACCAATATAATTATAATCAGGTACTAGTAGTCAGACTAGATTTATTTACTTCGTCTCTTGTCTGATACATGTTTCTTGCATGCCTATTGCACTGTACCTCAAATTGCCATCTATACCATACTAATTTCTTATGAAACTACATACTGCACTGCACATATTTGGGTTTTGTCATGTCAAGCTATATTATAGTAATACGATAGCCATATAATAGCGATACCAAAGCCATACCATAGCCACATCATGGTCATACCACAGCCATATCATGTTACAATTAGAATTATCACAGCAACACCATAGGCATACCATGTAGACCATATCCATATCGCACCAATGCTACATCCATACCTTAACCATACCTTAACTATAACACCGCCATACCATAGCCATACCATAACCACACCATAACCATACCTTAACTATAACACCGCCATACCATAGCCATACCATAGCCATACCATAACCATACCATGACCATACCATAACCATACCTTAACTATAACGTCGCCATACCATAGCCATACCACGACCATACCATAACCATACCTTAGCCATACCATGACCATACCAAAACCATACCATAACTATAACATCGCCATACCATAGTCATACCATGACCATACCATAACCATACCATAACTATAACATCGCCATACCATAGCCATACCATGACAATACCATTGCCATACCATGACCATACCATAACCATACCATAACTATAACATCGCCATACTACGCCATACCATGACAATACCATAACCATACCATCACCATACAATGACCATACAATAGTCATACCATAACTATAACATCGCCATATCATAATCATACCATCACCATACCATAACAATACCATAACTTTAACATCGCCATACCATAGTCATACCATGACCATACCATAACCTAACCATAACCATTCCACATCATGGCCATGTCACAGCAATACAATAGCCATACCACCTGAAGCCTGTATACTTGACAGAGTCATGTCACACATAATGTGCATCCATTGTGACAATAACAACATTTCCATGTTCATTTCACGCTTTACGTGTTCCTAATGTGTTAAATGTTTCTTCTTTATTTTGAAATCATTATCCTCTAAAAGCATATTAAATTTAAGGCATCCCAGTAATATAGAATAGCATTTGACACAAGGAAATTATGGCTCAGATTTGGTGGTTTCAGTTTCACGGCTATCCTGGGCAGTATCGGAGCAGCTGGGGTTCCAGGCACAAGCATCACTACTTTGCTGATGGTCCTGAACGCTACCGGACTACCAGACACGGGGATGTCTTTCCTGCTAACCATTAACTGGTTGACGTATGTCTATGCTTTGATTATGTCAGTTTAAACTTAGAGTCATTCGTTTAGTGTAAAGGAAGAAATAGCATTACATGAATTGGTCACTGAAAATTAATGACGACACCAGTTTTTCACAAAAAGGGTAAACATGTCTTGTCCTACCCATAGCACCCGCTATTCACAAATTTTGCCTAAAAATGCAAGTATTTTGCGCCTGATGCTGCAATGAGTACACACGCACACGCACACGCACACGCACACACACACATAAACTTTCAAACGGGTCATGGCCTTGGGTTGTATAATATCACGATAATGTGAGGTTTTGTATATACTTACTCCCTAACTAACGATTGTAGCTCAAAAAGCAGTTTGTGGTTTCAGGGAACGCATCCGGACTTCGGTGAACGTTGCTGGAGATTGTCTGGCAGTTGGCGTTGTCTCCCATTTCACCAAAGAAGTACTTGCGAAATCAAATGTCCAGTCACTAGAGGAGCAAGATGAAGATTCGGATGGGAGTATGATCGAGAATGAAACAGTATTCCTGTAGCCCAATGTCAAAATGTCCATTTCCATGTCCTATGGGTTGTGATAGCTCACTTCGTTTACAAAAAACGTAACGGTACTGGTGATGGTCAAATCACCCTAGGTATGTGCAGTAAAACATTCAGTCTTGAGCCTTTTTATATCAAATACAATATATATCAATATATAATTATCTATATTATGAGTTTGTGTAATTACTGAACTGTACTTTGCCTTAATTCTTAGGTACTTGTCATCTGAAGGTAAACAGTGAATCTTTGTAAATGTTAAAGGCACAATGTCACACCACACTTCTCTAAAAATACATTACTATCAGCCTTCGGGAAAGCTACCATATGTATATTTTATAAAAATTACTTATTCAGATTACAATGTTAAATTAAAATGTTCAAATTAATTAATGCAACGTTGCATTAAATCGACTCTCGTGCCATCTGCGGCCCCATATAGTTATGTCCCTTGGAGCGCTTTTTACGAATATCCTACGCACAACTTGTGATTGAATCCAGTTCGGCAAACACCGATAACACCGCATGCGACAGTTTTCTATGTACGGAGCAATTGTTTACATTCCAAATATTGCAAGTGTTATCTGTTTGGAAGCTGTTCGCCTTTAAGTTTTAATTATCAATTTTAGGCAAGGTGTAAGAGATAATAAATCTTTTAGTGCATCAATAGGCAGCTAAAGTGAGTACATATGCCCCCAATATATAAAATATAGGCACAATATTGTCGAAAATGTGTGACATTGTGCCTTTAAATAAAGTGGCACGCCTGACGAAAATGACAATACCCCACAAGGAGCTAACACTTGCTACAGTTGCATCATCTCTGTAGGTTATTTACTAAAGACTTCCAATAAACAATGGATGAAAGTTGATGAAGATGTTTGTCTGTGTTCAGATTAGTTCCAATATCAGGTCACACTTCCAAATCTTTGCAGCAAAAATATAACTTTTAGGTTTCTGAGCACAAAGGTCAACCCAACATCAAACAGATCCGGATAGTCAAACGTGACTGATGTATGCCACCGTGTCGGTGACCACGGGAGTCATATTTCAGCATCCTATCGGAGCTAAACATTGTTCTCTACTGCCGTGTTCTTTGAAGCAATGTCTGCGTATAATTCTTTTCAGCAACCATTTTTTATTCAGAAAAATAATTCAGTGAAGTCAGGGGTAGTCGACACCTTCTGGAGCCGGGGTCGTGATTAAAGCCTTCACTCGTCAAGTTGAAGTCCGGCTTCGATTGACCGCCAAATACAATGTCTGAAGCTCATTATAGTGACTTCCAGAGTGATCGTTATTGCTGAAGTATTACCAGAGGAGGCATGCAACCATACGCACTTACTCCGTCTTGAGGTCTGTGTCATCAACAGATAGCAACTGAAGCGATCGTAAAATGAAGAATGCGTGGACTTGTTTGATATTAACTGTTTACAAGGTTAACACATTTCATTGTTGCATCCCTTCGTGGTGTAAGGATTCGCTTCATTGGTTATGTTTCCATGACCTGCATCCCCTTGACGCAGATGGTTCTGTTCCGCTTGACGTATCCCACCTGGTACCCAACAGGTACCTATTTGTAAAGTGGTAAAATACATGATAAATGACCATAGTCTGCAGCAACGGTTGCTAAATTTAAATTGTCATCGATGTGATGCCATTAGACCAAGTAGACTTGTCAGTGCCATAAAAGTGTTCGTGGGTTCTCTACATTTCCTGAACAAACAACGTTATAGATAACTGTGAATTGCTTGTAATCATTACAGTAAACACGGCAAACAAAGACGACCTCCTAATATGCATGCTAAGCTGTAGTTAGCCGAACCTTTACATTAGATGCCCGCCGCCATATAGATGAAATATTGCTGAGTGCAGCTTTAAACAACAAAAAACAAAAAAAAACAACATTTAGAGGCTTACCACTCCACATGTGGGTTGTGTGTGGCATTACAATAATTGAACACGTTTAGGGGAAACCTTGTTAGCTTCACAGTGGGGCCACTTTTATTATGCTATTTCGGGATATGCCAAACATAAGCATCAAGAAAACAGAAAAGTAGAGAGAAAATATACCTCAGTTTAAACGTTTCATACCCTCGACTTTAAAAAATATACTGAACAAAAAGGGGTTTATGAACATTTTTAGGAATATTTTTTGTTGTGAAATTTGTGTACACCATTTCAGAAATTTATTCAAGTATTCTTGATCCTTTCCAATTTTGTTTGGTATATATGCAAATTTATGAGAAAATGTCACATAACCGAGAACTGATTGCAATCATCACCAGACTCGTGACCAACAAGGACGAGCTCATAACAAACATGCGGGGAACTATGTACGGTAACGCCAATCGACGTAGTTCGTTGCATTGCCATAAACACACAAATTTGGAAGAAACCTCGTTAGCTCCATATGAGTTGGGCCATTATTTGGTTTACGTATTAGCCAACGGTAAGCATAAGGAACATGTAATAAAACAATTATCAGCTGTAAATTACTGAAAACCACATCAAGAAATAAACTAATTAATAAAATATTATGAGCACGAATACATTAAACCCAGCCTGTATAAATAATGTTCAGGATCATGGCTTTCTTGAATCTCGACGTTGAATTATTACCTTTTTAAGTACTCATTTTCTTTGTTCCACCACCGTCTTTAGAATTCGGAAAAGAAAAAAATGTCAAACAAAAACGAACTACCTTGAAAACTAGAATACAATAATGTAAGTATTGTGATAAATAGGATGGAATCATTTTCAAAAACATCTTCCAAAAGACATTTCGAGAACAAATCGACGCTTTTCAAGTATCGAGCGCCGAGTGCAAATATAGGTGACTTTAATCGAACAAATTATTCCCAATTAAACTAAATAAAGAAAACGTTTGAAATTTCATTATCAAATTTTCACATGACTCAATACGCCCAGGAAACAGACACGTGTTCCGTCTTCCACTGTAATTAGTAAGTTGGCTTTTACACTTTTTGTAGCAATATTCCAGTAGTACCACGTCGGGAACACACGAAATGAGCTTCACACATTGTACCCATGTGGGGAATCGAACCCGGTGTCCCTCTTCCATTGTACACAATGTCAATGTCTGTATACATGTGCATAATCATGGCACACTCTGGTCAGTTAACATACAACCCGATACATTTACAGTGCATAGCTGCCTGATACCAACACACTCTACGGATCAAGAACGCGGCAATGATATTTCGCATAATGTACACATCACTACAATGGATACGTTTTAGTTTAAAAAATAACACACATAATTTTTTGGGGGGTATTTATTACTTATATGGATACAGTAATGTGACCACACTGCATGCATCACACAACAATCGGTAAGTGATAACAAACTGAAAATCGCTGACTAACAATGAACAAATAAAAGCCTAACGTGGAAACTTGATGTTACAGTATTGTTCATGTAAATGCGTGTGACCATGAAAAGATTCGTTTATGTACATGACTGGTGGAAGATTATGTTATCTCTTAATTGCTACACTGAACAAAGTAGTAAGATTGTCATGTCTAGATCTCTTTGGGGGATTTGTGTTGTAAAAAAAACCTTGATAAAATCCTCAGAAATAATTATGATCCTCAACGTTTTTCCTGAGATCATATGCAATAATTAACAGAGAAAGTTGCAGATAATATTGACCTGATCGTAATCATTACAGTAAACATGGCCAACAAAGACGACCGCAAAATATGCATGCTAAAAAGTAATTAGTGCAACCTTTACAAAAGATTTTACCACGCCACAGGGAGTCTACCATAATTGTACAAGATTACCGGAAACCTCGTTAACTCCATATGAGGGATCATTTCAACTAACCCAGGCCTTGTTATTCTATTATGCGGTTTCGTGATACGCAAAACATAAACATCATGAAAGCAGGAAAGTAGAGAGAAAACTATTAGGCCATGAGCCAGACAATTTTTCGGTACCACTCAGAGGGACCAAACACTTTTATGTTTTTAAAGTTGTTATGGTTCTCTACATGTATGAATAACACAACTTGATATTAATTAAATCTTTTTAATCATGTTAGCACTATTTTACCTCCTTTTTTTCATTTCAAACCTATTTGTTGAACTTTACTCACGATTAGAGCTTGGAATTGACATTTTTTGAAAGTTTTGGAGTTTTTTGGCGTAGGTTTAGCTCGTTCTGAGTTTGAGCTACCAAACTGACATGGCCATTATACATTTTTGATATGTAGAGACATAAAGGAATATAGAAAAACACTAAAACTTTTGGTCCCTCTGAGTGGTACCAATATGTCAATTTTCAGCTCATGACTCATGGCCTATATACCCCAGTTGAGACGTTTGAAACCTCCATTTCATAATAAGCTGTATCACAAACTGTTTTCAGTCACACACGAGGGTAATAACAACTGCATTGGAAAAAACACATCAAAGGAATGTTCAATTAATTCTTCAGGAAGAGGGCTATCATTAACATTGACATTGAATTGTAACATCTTTCAAATATCCACTGACCATGTTTAAACAAATCACAATTAAAATGGAGAGTGTTTCCTGATGTGTTTTTTCGACAACTGACTTCCAAACTTGGAGGGAAAAACATTGAAAGAAAACCAACTAAAGTGACAAGATCTAACTGTTAAAACTAACAAAGGGGAATTAAATAATGTAAGCATCATGACAGACAGGAAGCCGCTTTCATAAACATCTTCAGATTGAAAAATATATGAATTGTATGTATTATACACTTGTAAGTAAATGTTAAAATGAGAAATCCCTTGAAACTTCAATATTGACAAACTCTATAAATAACTTTTTTTATTTCGTGAGTGCGACGTCAATATTTTGCTTCCCATATTCTAAAACGCCACATTACAGACCCAATACACTCAGGAAACTAACACCTGTCCCGTCTTTCACTGTAGACTATGTTGTAAATCCAGCTTGCGCCATGCAGGTAGCAAAGAGAATGCACTTACTCACTCACTCACTCACTTATGCGTTCCTCACAAGACGGGTACTACGGGCAGCGCACGTGCAGGACACGGGTAGTGCGTACAGAGCACGTGCATTGCGCGTGCGAAGCAAGGTGTTGGCTGCCAGTCGCATCCCAGTCGACACCGGTTGTTCCATCATTTGTGGGCTGTTCCATCAATGTTGTTCTGCTCAGTACATGCACAAAATGAAAATAAGAATATATTTGTGTTTTACATTCATGGCGGTTCATAGGTCGGATAAAACACTCCCCCTCGGTCTTGGTTGGGATTGTAAAACCCTCGAGCAGCAGGGACGGAGCTTGTACAACCGAGGGCGAACTCGGTTTTACAAGTTCCTGCTGCTCGAGGGTTTTTCAATCTCGTCCAAGGCACAACAAATAGTTGTTCACTGTTTCGTCCTTGGGCACGCAAGAAACCAATGAACATGGATTCGAATTCCATTCTACCCCGGTTATATTTCTAGGTTTGTCATCAACATATCCTTGTTCGTCGGTTCAACAAAGTGGTTAATATTTGAGGGCTGAATCACATCCGGCTTTTTCACTACATCAACTTTACTCGCTTTGACATAATGGGATACTGTTCAAAGCAACGTTCAACCATACATATTCACTCCTGTTGGAGAGAGGAAGGTCGCGGGTTTGATCCCGAACGCGTCATACCAAAAGACGTTCAAATATGGTACTTGTTGGTCCCTGCCTGGCGCTCGGCATTAATGGGTACATCAAGGACGGATCGGCTCGGAGACAGTATAATGTGTCTGAGTGGGGTATTCATGCTTCACTGCGGCATGGTATCTCAGTGGGCTAGCACTATAAAACCAGCTTAAGTCTGGGATAGTACAAGCAACCGCACATACACATACACACGCATGCACGTCGTCATATGAGCGAAATATTCTCAATCACGACATTAAACCCAATTTCACCTCACCTCACCTCACCACCTCACCTCACTCCTATATGTTCGATATCAAACGAATTACAAAACAAAACAGTTTCATAATGCATCAAATATTCCATAAGATGGAAGTTAGATTTGTAAAAAACATTGACTCAAAGTACTCAGATCCTGCAACTCTAAGATATCTAGTAGTCAATTCTTCATGTACAACAGGAACTGAGAAATCAAGACTTAATGAGTAGGAGCATAATTCGGTGGATTATATTGGCCTGTTTTCAGTGTTAAGGAATGGGGACCTGCATCAGTATTGTAGCTTAATTTCAACCTTTCAGCCTCGATATCGTTGAGACGTTTTCTTCGAATTCGCTGTTCGGCAGCTGGCATGTTTGAATAAAAAGCATCAAAATTGGACGCGATAATGGCAATAGGCATAGCAATTAGTAAAATGCCAGACAAAGAGCAGATAACTCCAACCACATATCCTGCCCAGGAAGTGGGGCAGAAATCTCCATAACCAACCGTGGTCATGGTAATAATGGTCCACCATATTGCATACGGAATGTTACTGAATGTATCTGCTTTGGTAGCTACCTCTGCAAAGTAAACAAGAGTGGCATATATGACAACGGCCATCGTTAACGTAACCAAAAGCAGACAAAAAGCACTTAAACTCGCTTTCATTGTGAATAGCAACAATTTCATAACATTGGACGACTTTCCAAGGTGGAATATACGCAGCACGTTTAAACAGAACATGGCCCGCAATACAGTATGAGCAGTATGGACGTGTTCAACTGCAGGTATGTGATCTAGAATGACTGCAGCCCACATAACTAATGCCAATATCGTATCCATATTGTTCAGACCGAACGTAAAAAATCGTTTCTTTTCAGGACAGGTGACAAACTTGGTGAGGAGCTCTACAGTGAAGAAGACTAGGCAGGCAAGATCCAGGCTGTAGATGGTGCCTTTCATCTCAGACTTCAACAGCATTTCCAGGATGGAGTCGCTTTCAAGATGGGAATCCTCTTCCCTCAAAGGTTCCCGTAGTTGTGGTATTGTGTACAGACAGGCGATGACGACGACCATTGACACGAAGAGCATGTAGATTGTGAACCAAATCTGTTGACAGATAAGGACAGATAAAAGTCAAAGGTGCTTGAAAAAGAACGTGGATTACGCGATCTTTTAAATCCTTTGAATTGTTGAATATAAGTATGCAAACAGGTTCACAATTGTTTTAACGAATCTGTTTACCTCGTTGAAACTTTCAACATATTTAATCACTTTCGAATATGGTATTATATTTGGATGGAGGGTAAAAGATGGACGTAAAACTAGATGATGAACGTAAGACATTATGTTGGGGACTTTCAGAGAATTTACCTTGTTAAAATCTATTAGGACACGAAGCTAAGAGCTTGTATTTTTTATCACCAATTCACCACAAAAAAAGAAGAGAAATTAAACGCTATACATTATAAGGAACCCAATAACTATAGCTCCGTGTTCATGAACATAATGTTCAATACTGTCTCATATGTAGAGGACAGTACACAACCCTGTGCACTCAAAAGAACCCACGAATCCGTTTGTATATGACCAGATGGCGGCCACATGAATACATGCAAACACCGACGTGCAGTAAACTTGGACAAAGTACTGTGACTATGTGTCCCAATCAACCCAGCTATGAAAAATGGGTACCTCGTAATGATGGTAAAAAATTGCAATAACTCGGTGGGCCTAGTGGCTGCAAGAGTTGTATGGTCCCCAGGGAGTTGAGATTGATAATACGATGTGCCATTGAGATTGACATCCAATGACTGAGGGAAAAATCAGCGCCTTGAGCATGTACTAGTTGCGTGGATATGTGCGCTATATAAATATGCTGTAATAATAATAATAAAATATTATGTACTGTGACCTTTGCATGGAGTTTTCACATGATATCCGCTGGCACTTACTTTAATAGATAGCATGTGCAGACTTGGCGATCTGGTTAATAGAATGGCGTTGCATCCTGATGGCATATAACACTGCTGATTATACCACCAAAGTGGTAAACGTAATACATGCATCACTCCAGGCTTTCCACACAATAACTGGCAGAACATTCAAAGCTACCTTATACCAAACACATTCACTGGACCAAGACCACGCCAATGATGATTCGCATACTGTTTACATTATAACAACGAATACGTTTTGGTTTTGAAAATAACACTCGTGCTATATGTGTTCTTGTAACAATGTTTATTACTTATATGGATACAGTAATGTGACCACACTGCATGCATCACACATCAATCGGTAAGTGATAACAAACTGAAAATTCGCTGACAAACAATGAACAAATATAACATAACGTGGAAACGTGATGTTACATTATTGTTAATGTAAATGCGTGTGACCATGAAAAGATTCGTTTATGTACATGACTGGTGGAAAATATAGTTATCTATAATTGAAACACTGAACAAACTAGTAAGGTTCAACTTGTTATGATTCCTTTGGTTATTTTTCTGTAGTGAAAACTAAGCACACAATTTCATAAAATCCCCACAAATCATCATTATCCTCAACGTTTTTGCTGAAATCATTTGCAAAAATTAACTGATTTAATTTCAGATAACATTGACCTGATTGTGAGCCTTTCAGTAAACATCGCCAACAAAGATGACCTCATAATATGCATGCTAAAAGTATTTAGTGCAACCTTTACATTCGGTGCAGAGCTTTACCACTCCACATGTACGTAGTGAGTGTATGGCTTTACCATAATTGTACAAGATTATAGGAAACCTCTTTAGCTCCATATGAGTGGGGCCATAGTGTATGATTTCCACTAACCCAGGCATTGGTGGTAAATTATCTGATTTCTGGATACGCCAAGCATAAATATAAGCAAAGTAGAGAGAAAAATATAGCTCAGTTGAGATGTTTCAAAACTCCATTAGGCAATACGTTGTATCACAAACTGTTTTCAGGCACACACGAGGGTAAACCCACCTCAAATGGAGTGTTAAAGTAATTCTTCAGGGTCTTGGCTATCGTTAACTGTGAGTTATGACATCTTTTTGAATACCCACTGACCATGGTTATACAAATCACAATAAAAATTTAGAATGTGTTTCCTTTGTCCCTTTTCAACAACCGATTCCAAATTGTTATTGGGAAAAACGTCGAAAATGGAACCAACTAATGAGAAAAGATCTAATTGTTGACACGAACAAAGTAGAATGAAATAATGTTAGCATCATGATAAATAGGAAATCATTTTCATAAACATCTTCCGAGAGAGCAAAAATCTACAAATTGCACTTGTTAGTTAATGTTAAAATGGGAAATCCCTTGAAACTTCAATATTGACAAAATTTATGGAAAGCAATTTCCTTTTTTTTCGTGAGTGCGACGTCAATAGTTTACTTCCCAAAGTTTAAAATGTCACTCGAAGACGCAATCCTTGAAACGTCATTTTGAACTTTCACAGGACCAAATACACTCAGGAAACTAACACCTATCCCGTCTTCCACTGTAGACTGTGTCAATGTGTAGTATGCATGGGATAAGTATGGTACACTGTGGTCAATAAACATGCAACTTAATACATTTACAGTGTATATCAAGGGTGATATGTGGCATTTACAAGCGTGTATATTCGTGCTAGTGCTGCGATCGATAGAAACACTTTACTACGGAACTATACACCTGTGATTTCATAATGGGCTTTTCTGACTGATATATCTGTTTGTACATCAACTTAGTCCGGCACTGTCTTGTCTGGACAAATGGGTATAACTGCAATCTGTTCGGATTTTTATGAAACAAAATCATACACGGATTGCGTTTCAAAACCTGCTCATAGAAACCGTTGTTGCTTAAACTGCTGTCGTCATTGCACAGCATTTTTAAAATGGCCTCAAGAACTAAAGCAGATATTGTTCTAATAGCCTCATTTATATCTATGTTTGATGCATCACGGCGGGGGACACCAGAAATGGGTTTCACACATTGTACCCATGCGGAGAATCGAACCCGGATCTTCGGCGTGACGAGCGCACGCTTTAACCACTAGGCCACCCCACCGCCCACCAACAGAGTGGTTAATATTTGAGGCATGTATCCCATCTGGCTTTTCTCCCACACCAACGTGACACGCTGTGATATAATGGCATACTGTTCAAAGCAACGTTAAACAGTTGAATGTTCGATTTTAAATGAAATCCAAAACGTTTTCATAATGCGTCAAATATTCCATCAGATGCAAGTTGGATTATTAGAAAAGCATTGACTCAAGTACTCAGCCCCTGCACCTCAAAGATATCTGGTAGTCACTTCCTGACACAAGAACAGAGATGTCAATCAGTTGGAGTATAACTCGGTGGATTATATTGGCCTGTTTTCAGTGTTAAGGAATGAGGACCTGCGTCAGTATTGTAGCTTAATTTCAACCTTTCAGCCTCGATATCGTTGAGACGTTTTCTTCGAATTCGCTGTTCGGCAGCTGGCATGTTTGAATAAAAAGCATCAAAATTGGACGCGATAATGGCAATAGGCATAGCAATCAGTAAAATTCCAGACAAAGAGCAGATAACTCCAACCACATATCCTGCCCAGGATTGTGGAAAAAAGTCTCCATAACCAACCGTGGTCATGGTAATAATGGTCCACCATATTGCATACGGAATGTTACTGAATGTATCTGCTTTGGTAGCTACCTCTGCAAAGTAAGCAAGAGTGGCATATATGACAACGGCCATCGTTAACGTAACCAAAAGCAGACCAAACGCACTTAAACTCGCTTTCATTGTGAATAGCAACAATTTCATAACATTGGACGACTTTCCAAGGTGGAATATACGCAGCACGTTTAAACAGAACATGGCCCGTAGTACAGTATGAGCAGTATGGACGTGTTCAACTGCAGGTATTTGATCTAAAATGACTGCAATCCACATAATTGATGTCAATATCATGTCAAGATTGTTCAGACCGAACGTAAAAAATCGTTTCTTTTCGGGGCAAATGACAAACTTGGTGAGGATCTCTACAGTGAAGAAGACTAGGCAGGCAAGATCCAGGCTGTAGATGGTGCCTTTCATCTCAGACTTCAACAGCATTTCCAGGATGGAGTCGCTTTCAAGATGGGAGTCCTCCTCCCTCAAAGGTTCCCGTAGTTGTGGTATTGTGTACAGACAGGCGATGACGACGACCATTGACACGAAGAGCATGTAGACCGTGAACCATATCTGTACATACATGAGGATTGTTATAGACGCAACATGGAAATGATCTTTGTAAAATTTTGAATTGTTAAGAAAAGAGAAGCAAAGATGTTCATATGAGAACGTCCACATCACCCCATCCCGATGCCAAAATATAAAAATAATAGTATAATAATAAGTGAATAAATAAAACAAAATAGAAATGAATAAATAATTCTCTTACCCTCTTAGGAACTTTTCATATCAGCAAGATTTCAATATGATATTAAGTTTCTACCACTGATTAAAGAGAGACTATGCACCATACATATAGATCTACATGTATTTTTATTCTTGATTAAAACGTCAACTGACAGTATTTTTCCGTGTTAATTTGCGTATACATACATATTCAAATTTCATGCAAAGACACGCGTTGATTGAAGTTTATATACGAAGGAATATTGTAGCAACACCTATTATTTTAACCCCAATATAATCCCTTATATTCGTTTGATAATTATGCGCTTCATACATTGAATTTAGATATGCACGTGCTACGATCAAAGGCCAGCATCACACATAGATCCGTGTATTAAGCTAATATCAAGTTTCGGTTTTCATTTTGACGGGGGTTAATGATATTTATGGGGGGCTCTCACGTGGCTGAAAACTTGACCTTCTGACGCTAAGACAAAATCTAAATTGACAACGGCTCATCAATGACATACTCTGCAGTGTTGTTTTTCACCAGATATTGTACTTGTGCCTGGTTATTGATACCTATGTGATTTCTTGAGGACTGTATGACAGAATCCTGAAAATGACAAAACTTAAAATAGTTAACGTCATACGAACAATTTTGAACTGCAGCAAATGAGTCAATTTTGTCATGTTTACTTCTCTGAATAAAGTAAAGTTTGTCGCTCTTTTTCTTTAAATTTGCCATGTCATTGTTCCTTGAATATCCAGATATTAAGTTAAACTGAGGTTTGGGTAAGTGCCTTTGCTACTGTTTATGGTAACATATTCGAACTATGGAAAAAGGTGTTGCTATACTTTGTTCCATGTGTATATTTTCATTCTCGTTTCATGGCAAACATTGAAAGAAATTCCATGTACATGTTCTTGGCCGTGAACTTATTATCTGTAGCCTGTTCATGAGTTTTCACTCTGTACCCACCAGCGCGTACTTTCATTGATCGGGTGGACAGGTCGGGCAGTTTGGTTACTAATATGGTTGGTCCAGATTCAGTTATTTGCATGCCGCCACGTTATAGGTGCATTGCTGAATTAAAAGAACACTTGCTCTTTTATGAAAATTTTGAAGAGAGTTATTGCAGGTGGTACAAAACACGTTGATCCTTTTCACGAACACCTTTTGTCAGCTGTGACTTGTAGTGATACGTTCATTAAATATACTAGACTATTTTACATTTTACGTAATCAAGTTGTCATCAAATCAAAACGTAATCAAATCATCTTATCCCAGTTGCGTAGATCGATGCTCATAATGTTGATCACTGGTTGTCTGGTCAAGACTCGATTATTTACAGGCCGACGAATATATCTGGATTATTGCTCTGTGCGGCGTAAAACTAAACTCACTCTGACAGATGTTTGAACGTAATAACACCCCGCTAATTACACTGCTATATGCATGTGTGACTACTCTGTTCCTTATTGCACAAGTCACACAGGAAATCCCAACGTCTACCACTAATGAGGGTAACTTTCTACAATTGGGCAATTAGTTATGAATGATCAGCCGTCCTCAGCAGTGTTTCGCTTCCGTTAATCGCATGGAAATTTGACCTTTCGTTTAACATAACTAAACTCATTGTGTTTTTGTGTAAACATTTGGTAATAAAGTAAGACTAATTGCAACATGAGAATATGCTCATTTCGCAATCCCATACTCGATGGTAATATAAATAAAAAACAAACCGTATTACATATTAGCGAAGTAATACTAGCATTTATGCTTGCTACGATTCCTGGATTCGTTGATGATTCGGAAACGTCTGCCACAGTGAAAACCTACACATAATTCGCATGTAAAAAATTTTCGGCTTCATATACTGCACACTTAATCAATGTTATGATATATGGTGAATCTGGATGGAAGGTGCCTAAAAATAGATAATATAGATATATCCAGGATAATGTATACCAACCACGGAGAACAACAGGGTGGTGGATACGGTCATGTTAGAGTATATCCAAGTTCTGAGTACTTTACATAGTAAGCTGGAAGTTTTCACCGAGAAAGCCTGAAAAACACAACCTCTCAATGTAATGATTAGGGCTCCATGCCTCCAGGCAAGGAGAACTATTGTATTCGTTCGGATTATTATTATTATTTATCATTCCTCCGATTTTAGTACCAAACATACTTCCTAAACCAATGTTCCGAATCGCTTACAAACAAATCACCCAGATGTTCACCGAGGTGAAGATATTCCCCTTAAAAATCTTTAGGCTCTAGGCCCAATATAAAAGAGCAAATAATCCAATATTAATTCCAAAAGTTCAAAGTTTGACAGCAAATATCTCAAGAACTAATTGTTCCAACATTTCCAAAATCTTTTGTACAGATGTGCAATCGAATTCACAAGAATTTGCCTGGACGGGTCAAGTCGCTAAAATGTACCGGTCAGCAGTTATTTTTGTTTTCAGTTTTTGGCCATGTTTTGCCTCCAAAACGTGCTGAGCTCGAACGATCAGCTCCAGAGCTTCCAAACTTTCAATAATTAATGTCTAGTAACCATTGTACAAATTGTGCACAGAAAGTGCCAGGATGTGCCTTCGATGGCCGCCATATTGAGTGCTACTTCGGGGCCAAAGTTCCCTTCAAACAATTTCCACGATTTCTTCACGATTTTTACAAAAGCAAACTTACTAGGTGAAAACTAAAAGGAACTTCTTAGAAACCATTGTATGTGTCTGATAGCGGAGGTCCTGACGATTGCAGAACACTAATTGATTTGACTGTAGACCCAAGACCAACTGCCTGTTAAAGAGGGAACTATTTCTTCTCGAGAACTATTTAAAATTTCTGGGATCCGCTCGCGTGTCAAAAACGTTTTCTGTGTGTTTTCGGCGATTTCTTGAGCTCAAATACACTTCAAACATCTGTAACTTTGAAACTAACCGTCCAATTTCGACAAAAAAAATGGCTTATTGAGTTATTGGGGAAACAACCAAAAGGTCCATGGAGCCTACATCGCTGCTTGCGGCTATATTTAGTAATTTATTTGTTTCAGAAAAGAACCTGGTAAATGATGCTACATAGAAGACTATTAAATTTGATGAGGAAAATGTCTGCCCGACAATTCAACATAACTGCAACATCTGACTCAAAATCTTGAAGAAAATGGCCAATTCTATTGAATCATTTCATTTTTCAACTCTGTATACCACTATCTCACAAGGCAATCTTAAGGGAAACCTTCATAGCTTGAATCGGGTTCATCAGTAATGTCTCACCTCTTTCTTGCGGATTTGTTGAATTGGAGTTTTTGCTCGGAATAACTCAAAACAGGGTATTCCGTCCCAGAAATATAAACCTGAACTTCAGATATATCGAGGATCTTATAACTCTATAACCATCAAAAAGCTAATTCGCTTCCACCGATTTAACCAGTTGAAAAAAAAATGAAGGAAACCAATAAGACTCACTCATCTGTTTCATATTTAGTTCCACCCTCGATAATCTCCAGGGTATACGTTACGATCAATCTCCACAAGTCCCCTGGATGCATCTTTGACTCGGCCCGATAATTATATTATCTCCCTTTGTTGGCTCCGCATTCTCACAGTAGCCAATCAGCTAAGCCGCCGTTACAACGGACTTGCCAGTCTCAACAAAAATAGCGTTGAGATTTTTGGATAGATCATACAGACAAATTGACAGGTCTGAGACTTTAAAAAAATATATGCAAGAACTCCTTCTACCTCTTTCAGAGTACCTCTGCCTCAATTGTGTTGCAAAGTTTAATCGGTTTGACAATTTAAGAAGCGAAAGTGAAACTTCCCAGCGTAGACACCTGATTGGATATAAAGCCAGCCAAGGGAGGTAATAAAATCATCTGGCCGAGCCGTAGATGCATCCAGGGTATAGTGGAGATTTATCGTAACGTATACCATGGAGATTATCGAGGATGATTTAGATTGCAAAACAAACCTTCCGGTGAACTACAAACCAAAATGTTAGACCATAAATGGCCAATATTTTGCTGGTGTTTTTTGGCAAATGAAAGCGTTTTTTCTGCAATATCTGCAATGCATGAACTGCTATGACGTCATGGAAATACTCCGTATTTAACAGATTTCATCCTCTTCTCAGAAGGTGAGTGAATTTGGTTTTACACCGCTTTTAGGAATATTCCAGCAATATCAGACCAGAAATGAGCTTCACACATCGTACAAATGTGGGGAATCGAACCCGGGTCCTCGGCGTGACGAGCGACCGCTTTAACCACTAGGCTACCCCACCGCCCCTCTTCACAACAAGAACTGGCAAGCAGGCGTTATGTTTTTTCGCCACCAGAAGGAAACCATCTAGACCAGGCTAGCTATTCTCGAAACGTTCGTAGCCCTACGAACTTCTTAAGCCCATTCTTAACACATTGGCCACGATCAAAGTTACGAATTCTTAGGGCTACGAACGTTTCGAGAATATGGGTCCAGTTGTGTACAGGTACTCGCAGCATGTTGCCCAGCTGTATGACAGCGGTCTGTAAATAACCATGTGTAGACCAAACACTCCAGTGACTGAACATCGATCCACGCATTTGGGATTGAACCAAGTCACAGTGCCTAACAACTCGGGACACAAAGGAACCTGCACTCGTAAATGCGGTATTTGTGCCTGCATTATTATACAGCAATGGTAAAAGGGAAAGCTGTGTCTCCCTACTTAAAACGCTCTTCAAATTATTTATAGGTGTTAGATTAGTTGATACATATTCATTAAACGGCATTGTTGTTATGGCCTCGTCAATACAAGCCTGGTCACAGCTGTTGAATCTATTATGTGTTTT